TTGGTCAATTTCTTACTCTTACTACTTACTCTGTGTATTGTAGACGACGCCGAATGTGAGAAGAATAATCGACTGTGATTGGTCAATTTCTTACTCTTACTTCTTACTCCGTGTATTGTAGACGGGCCTTAAAAGGCTGCTTTCCTTTTAGGAGACACAGTCGACACAAATCGACACAAGTGTCGTTCTATCTTTGTCACTCTCTGAATATCAAGAAGGATAGAACGATATTTGTGTCGACTTGTGTCGATTTGTGTCATCAAATGGAAAGCAGCCAAAGGCTTAAAACACAATATACTACATTTAAGCTGGAAACATAATAGACACAGGCAATAGGCACAGGCAACAGGGAATCATGAGCCGTCCAATCAGAGCTTTGGGGTATAAGTTCGATATTATATCCCAGAGCTCTGATTGGACGGCTCGTTATTCCCTGTGCCTATTGCCTGTGTCTATTGTGTTTCCAGCTTAAATGTAGTATATTGTGTTTTAAGTCTTTGGCTGCTTTCCATTTGATGACACAAATCGACACAAGTCGACACAAATGTCGTTCTATCCTTCTTGATATTCAGAGAGTGACAAAGATAGAATGACACTTGTGTCGATTTGTGTCGACTGTGTCTCCTAAAAGGAAAGCAGCCTTAAGTTATAGACGTAAGTAACGCACAAGCATTGGCGTATGACTTTAGCGGGGAGCACATTTTCTTGAATAACGCATAATACATGAGGCATAAGAAATTGAACCAATCAGAATCCTTTATTTCATAGAAAGGAAGGAAATGAAGAACTTCGATTGGCACATTTTTTTATGCATTATGTGTTATGCGTTATGCAAGAGTCTGTGGTTCCCGCTTTTAACTTATGTATATTGCCATAGGCATTGCCTATGGCAATGTACATAAGTTAAAATCATACGCCAATGCTTGTGCTTTACTTACGTCTACAACTTAAGACTGCCGTAAGGCGTCGTCTACAATACACGGAGTAAGAGGAGTAAGAAATTGACCAATCACAGTCGATTATTCTTCTCACATTCGACTGTGATTGGTCAATTCCTTACTCTTACTTCTTACTCCGTGTATTGTAGACGACCCTTAAGAGTTCGGCGCGTCGCGCAAGATACATTTTTT